TAATATTTTTTCACCCATTTTTCACTAATTTATTACCACCCTAATAATTTTTCACCACCAAACCAACCTTAAGGGGAGCGATTCTGCTGGCTTAAGGTTCAAGCTAGCAGAATTCAAAAAAAAAACTTTTTGTTGATGGCATATTTTTTCACCCATTTTTCACTAATTTATTACCACTCTAATAATTTTTCACCACCAAACCACCCTTAATGGGAGCGATTCTGCTGGCTTAAGGTTCAAGCTAGCAGAATTCAAAAAAAAAAAACTTTTTCTTGATGGCACATTTTTTCACCCATTTTTCACTAATTTATTACCACCCTAATAATTTTTCACCACCAAACCAACCTTAAGGGGAGCGATTCTGCTGGCTTAAGGTTCAATCTAGCAGAATTCAAAAAAAAAACTTTTTGTTGATGGCATGTTTTTTCACCCATTTTTCACTAATTTATTACCACCTTAATATTTTTTCACCACCAAACCAACCTTAAGGGGCGATTCTGCTGGCTTAAGGTTCAAGCTAGCAGAATTCAAAAAAAAAACTTTTTGTTGATGGCATATTTTTTCACCCATTTTTCACTAATTTATTACCACCCTAATAATTTTTCACCACCAAACCACCCTTAATGGGAGCGATTCTGCTGGCTCAAGGTTCAAGCCAGCAGAATTCAAAAAATAAACTTTTTGTTGATGGCATATTTTTTTACCCATTTTTCACTAATTTATTACCATCATAATATTTTTTCACCATCAAACCACCCTTAAGGGAAGCGATTTTGCTGGCTTACGGTTCCAACTAGCAGAATTAAAATAAATATGTACGACATACCATAGTGTTTTGATAGGTTTTTACGAATTTATTACCACCCTAGCAATTTTTCACCCCTTAACTACCCCTTGTGAAAAGTCAATAATTGTGATAGATTAAAATTAAAGGAGATTTTTTTTTTCAAATTTACTCTCCTCTACTTATAACTGAAATAAAAAAGTGTTTAGTTAAGATTTTACTAAACTTTGAGCATCCTGATAATTTTGCTCCCATAAATCTATTCGGAAACTTGTCTGCTAGCTCAATATTCGAACCAGCGAAATTAGAAAAAAACGTATTTTTGAAATATTATAGTATTCTATACCAACTTAGTAATTTTTTATCCCTCCACTAACCCTTGTTGGAAGTTAATAATTCTGCTATTGAAAAAGTATTATTTTATAATTTTACTCTTTTCTGTGGTAAAAAGATTTTTGTCTAATGCCATTTCTCTCTCATACACACACACACACACACACACACACACACACACACACACACACACACACACACACACACACACACACACACACACACACACACGCACACACACACACACACACACACACACACACACACACACACACACACACACACACACACACACACACACACACATACATAATTTTACTAAATACTATTTATAAATAAAATAAGAAATTATCCAACCTCACCAATTCTACCATCTAAACATTTACGCTAGTTAAATACAAAGCAAATTTTTTCGGAAATATGAGATACGATAGTATTGTGCTAGATTTGTACTAATATATTAGCATCCTAGTAATTTTTTACCCTTTAACTACCCTCCCAATCCGGAATCAATAATTCTGCTAGGTTAAAATTTAAGGTGATAAAAAATCTATTTCTATAATTTAACTGTATTGTACTTTTAACTGATTTTATAAATTGCTTGCCAGGTTTTTACTGAATTTGATCCACCCTTATAATTTTTGACCCCCTGAGCCTCAGTTAACGGGAAACATTCAAAAAGCTACACATTGAGGCTAGGTGAATAAAAAATTTTTTTTGGAAACACAAGAGTGCTCCTAGATTTTTACTATATTTTTACCAACCTAGTCATGTTTTTCTCAACTACTCTAATTGAAAAACATTTTCAAATCTTATTCTATGCTAACAATTTTTTATTTTTTTAGTGTTTAAATATTGAAAATACTTTATTCCAAAAAACTATAAATTTGAACCCTTTATGAATATAAAATAACTGAAATCGAGTTGAGTTTTAGTAAATACATTGGAATTTTTATATTTCACAGAATAAATTACCAGGTAATTCAAACTAACATTCCAGGTATTACCAGGTAATAAACATTCAAAATAACATAACACACAAATTGAAATAATTTTATTACGGCTATTATATTATTTAACTAATTGAAAAGAAGGGTCGGGACCGTGCGTATCTATTGTTAAGAGATTAAAAGATTTGTATTCAGTAGGTACATGAAAATTTGAAAAATAATTTAGGTATTTAATATTATTCAAATAAGAAGAGTATTAACGATTGGTCAAAACATATTTTTAAGATTATGTGTACCTATAGCACAAAGAATTTATCTTTTAAAACATTTTAGGATATAAATATTTTAAGTATGTATATTCAAATAAATCGGAAATTACCGGTTGGTCAGAACAGCTGTTATAGATTATTTGCGTAGTAAATTAAATTTAAATTAGCAGCATTTTAAAAATTTAAAGATATTTGTATTTTTTTTAATTCTTTGTCGAATTTTCATTCATTGTCAGTTGAATATAACTAGAAATTAAAGGGTATTTCAAAAAATATTAACCTGTTTATTTTGTTTATGGAAATGTTTAGAAGAATCGACCAAGGAGAGATCTGGTTTCTCGGGACAGTTCACACACTCATAAATTGGGTTTTTTCTAATGTTTAGGATAGTACTTACTCTGCATCTTTTTATTATTAATTTTTTATATTAATAATTCTATATCAATTATTTATAGGTAAATGTTCGCGTACGATATTCCGTCTTTCTTTACTTTTTTTATGAATTAATTTACGAATTAATTCTAACCTTCATACCGTCTTTTATGTGTTTTTTATTTAATATATTGTTTAAAACTAAGTCTAACTTTCCACGGTACCATCGATTCATCTAGTGGTAATTCTTTTACTGGATAGTACAGAGCAGTCATTTTATAATTAAAAAGTATATGACTGTTGTTATTCTATAAAACCGATCTACAGAAATAACATTAGGTCTCATTGGATTATGGATGAAGTGTAAGCACCCTAAAATTTAAAGAACAAGATCTCTGCCGAAAAACTTAACATAACACTTTTTTATTTCAGTTATAAGTAGCGAAGAGTAACATTGTAAAAGAATATTTTTCACCTTAAAGTTTAACAGAATTATTGACTTCCCATAGGAGGCAGTTGAGGGGTGAATAATTGCTAGTGTGGAAATAAATTCGCAAAAACCTAGCAAAACACTGTGATATTAAAAAAAAAAAATTTTCTGATTTTGCTGGTTCAAATATTGAGCTAGCAGGAACATTTTTAAATAAGATTAGTTTAGAAGTGCAAAATTATTAGGATGGTCAAAGTATAGTAAAAACTTAACAAACCACTTTTTTTATTTCAGTTATAAGTAGAAAAGAGGAAAAAATTTCTTCGTAAATTTTAATCTAACACAATTATTGACTTTTCACAAGGGGTAGTTAAGGGGTGAAAAATTACTCGGGTTGTAATACATTTGTAAAAACCTAGCAGAACACTATGGTATATGGTATGGTATGGTATAACCGTAAGCCAACAGAATCGCTCCCCTTAAGGGTGGTTTGATTCTGAACAAATATTAGGATTGTAATTATTTAGTGAAAAATGGGAGAAAAAATATGTCATCAACAAAAAGTTTTTTTTTAAATTTTACTAACTTGAACCTTACGCCACCAGAATCGCTCCCCTTACGGTTGGTTTGGTGGTGAAAAATTATTAGGGTGGTAATAAATTAGTGAAAAATGGGTGAAAAAATATGCCATCAACAAAAAGTTTATTTTTTGAATTTTGCTAGCTTGAACCTTAAGCCAGCAGAATCGCTCCCATTAAGGGTGGTTTGGAAGTGAAAAATTATTAGAGTGGTAATAAATTAGTGAAAAATGGGTAAAAAAATACGCCATCAACAAAAAGTTTTTTTTTAATTCTGCTAGCTTGAACCTTAAGCCAGCAAAATCGCTCCCATTAAGGGTGGTTTGGTGGTGAAAAATTATTAGGATGGTAATAAATTAGTGAAAAATGGGTGAAAAAATATGCCATCAACAAAAAGTTTTTTTTTTGAATTCTGCTAGCATGAACCTTAAGCCAGCAGAATCGCTCCCCTTAAGGTTGGTTTGGTGGTGAAAAATTATTAGGGTGGTAATAAATTAGTGAAAAATGGGTGAAAAAATATGCCATCAACAAAAAGTTTTTTTTTTGAATTCTGCTAGCTTCAACCTTAAGCCAGCAGAATCGCTCCCCTTAAGGTTGGTTTGGTGGTGAAAAATTATTAGGGTGGTAATAAATTAGTGAAAAATGGGTGAAAAAATATGCCATCAACAAAAAGTTTTTTTTCCAAATTCTGCTAACTTGAACCTTAAGCCAGCAGAATCGCTCCCCTTAAGGTTGGTTTGGTGGTGAAAAATTATTAGGGTGGTAATAAATTAGTGAAAAATGGGTGAAAAAATATTACGTAGGTTAAAATGGATTCCGCTCATGTGTCCCCGCTAGCTTAAGGGTGCTATGTATACATCCGCTATGCTATAGAATGTTTAGAGACCAAAGGTAATGGCGCGTTTCAGCGTCATTGTCTAACCATCATTTGGAGCACAATTTGAACATTTTATTGTAAATTTCCGTTTGTTTTATTTTTGGTAATTTAGCACAGTAATTGCATAATAATAAAGTAGTTGTATAACAATATGAAATTTTCATTTAATGTGTTTATTACGTTTATCCTTCATTTATTATTTTGTAGGTAACTTGGAATTTTTGCATTCTTGCCACTCTGTAAAATTTGAAGCAACGTGTTATACATTTTTGGAATCAGCTATTCCGTATAAAATAATTAAAAATTAATCTATCAGAAAACCATACGTTTATAACGTATCTCTTTCAAAGACTTGTCCTATTTTTTGTTTTAATAAACAACGTGTAAAACATCGAATAACTGCTTACCTGTTAATATCGCTATGATTTGTAATGCAGATTTTTCATTATTTGTAACGTTTTCCTTCACCTTCACACGCGTTAACGGTTCTATTTCGAACACACATTTTGTTTTATCTATATATTTGGTCATACTCAGATTTTTCATCAACTTTTGCACGCCATACTATCTATTCAACTAACTAGCTAGTGTTTTAAATATTCGTGTATTGATATACTATAATAATTTGCAATTTGTTGTTTTTATTATCGGAAACAGTAGCGCACTAAAATAAATTATCACGTAACTGTAATTTTATATATAAATTTCTTTGAAAATGAAGTTGAGTGTTTGAAAATAAAACCATTGATGTTAATGAAGGAGCCGGGTGTGACGAATTATTAAAGACATTAATTTACTTAACCTATTAATGCTCCAGAACTATTTATGCTTATTTTTTTTTTAAAAAATTTCTGAATCGTCACAAAATTAAACAAAAATTATATGTTTTAAAAAATGAGAAACTTCTCTCTTTCTTGAACAAGGGTGTTGGAGATGTGACTGGTGGGGAGACTCGGACACGTAAACGAAAAGATATTGAACAATGCGTTAATAAAAGTATGAGTCTTTATGGTTTTACATTCTTCGAGGGTTGGTAAGACCAGTTTGTGGCCCCATTCTTCAAGCTAAGTTTGTAGAGTTTCACAAACGGTTTAAGGATAGTGAGGAAAATTTTCCTGCAAGTGATGGTTGGCTCGACAGATGGAAGAAGAGATATAGCATCCGACAACTGAACATTTCGGATGAAAAACTTTCGGCCGGTTTATCTGAAAATGAACCTTTTCATTTAAAATTGAGAGATCTCATTTTAGAGCATGGCCTCACGCCAGACCAAATCTTCAATTGTGACGAAACGGGTCTCAATTTCAGAATGCTTCCAACCAAAATACTGCAGCAAAAAAAAACTGCGCCATAACAAAAAAGCAAAGAACGAGTAACTCTTTTGATGTGTAGCAATTCTTTTGGATCCTTAAAATTAAGACCTCTACTTATTGGAAAATCAAAGAATCCAAGGGCTTTTAAAAATATTCAAATAAACTGCCTACCCAACTTAGTGCGTAAATGGATTGCCAAATTTTTAAAGAATGGTTTTTTGACGAGTTCGTTTGCGTTATTGAGGCCAACTTAAAAAAGGAAAACATACCAAGAAAAGCTATTCTTTTTCAAGAAAAGAAAACGCGTAATCTCATCCAGATGCAAGTTCATTGACTAGCGGTGACATTAAAGATGTTTATTTTGCCACCAATCGTCATTCTCTCTCATTAACCTCTGGACCAAGAGTTTTGGAAGCTATGAAACTGAACTATCTTCGAAGGCTTCTACAAGTGTTGTTGACCTGGTTGGAGATCACCGTTAAGGATGTGTCTTACTGAATAGCTACAGCTTGGAATGATGTAAGAGTAACAACCTTACAAAAGTCATGGCGAAAGCTTTTTCAAATTGAACCGAAAAGTGATAGAAAAGTTAACAATAACTGTATTTCTGAAATAGTAGACCTCGCTGATCAGTTACCAACGAAACTGTCGATAAATGATAAAGACGTCAACGAGAGGATTATACAAGATCATTAAATGGAACTGACTGATGATGCAATCGTCCACATGGTTATCAACCCACACAATGTCACTGAGGATGACACAGATGAGATAATCGAGAAAATATCACACTCGGTAGGATTGAAGGCGATTGGAGCTGCCCTCGCCTACATTGCGCAACAGGAAGAGTCAACCCCTACCGATGTCGTTCATCTTCAGCATTAAGTAGTAGTAGTAATAGTTGAATAAACTAATTGCATGCATCATAACTTTTGTATTATTCGTTTATGTTAAGCAAATAACCGATCTCCGCATTATCCGAGTATTTCAGTATTCGAGGTATGCACGGTCCCAATTAGCTCGGATAATCGCGAGTCTACCGTACTTTATATGTCCTGGGGGGAGGGAGGGGTCAACCCCCAAAAACCCCCCGAGGGCGCCACAGAGTATTATCTGATTTTGCATCATCAATACGTTTAATTTATCGTTAGTAGATGATCAGCAGTGGATCATTTACTATTTTTTAATTGTTCTCTCAAAGTATTATAATCTCAGTGCATTTTTCTACAATAATTTAAAGTTGTTGTAAGTTTTATAACATTATTATACCGACTAACCAAATTTTAAATATAAACTATGTATATAATTTTTATCCACACATACGGATATCAGCTGAGTGCTTATCATGACATTAGGTTAAATTAAAGATCAAGTAAACAATAATTACTTGCAATTTATTTCTCAATATATTATTAGTTAATGAAATTCAAAAACCCGAAAGAAATAACTAATATTCTTAGACTTAAATTCACTAAATTAAAAGTGGCATCAATCATAAATGGATCAACAACATTACTCAAATTTGAGTTACTCATGTAAAAATAGATACAGTGCTTTTCAGATAAAACTACCCACTCTAAATAACTTTTGAACTTTCAATTTTTAGGAAAAACGCAAAACACATCTATTAATATTTGAAGGGGAGACATTATGTCATATTTAACCTTTGCTGGGAAAGGCACCTCCTCACCCTTAGTATGTGATTAGTTTATGAGATAGAGAATTTTCCTTTTAACAAGATATTATCTTTCTTACCTTAATTGACTGTATTGAGTAACAGAGTATTTTAATATGTGGTCAATTTGATCGCTGAAATGGTTTAGAAAGAAAGAATCGAAATTGTAGGTTTATACCAATGAACGATATAATTGTAAAGACTGCTGCTGAACGCTTTAAAGAAGTCGTCCACAATACATGAATACTTTGATATTATTATTGTGTTGAACTGATGCGAAATTAGAGCACAGAGTCAGTTTGTCGTTAAAAACACGCATGAGACTGGTTGAAAACATCGTGTAATAACAAAGCATTCCAATGTAGTGCATTAGCATAAGTTTATTTAAAGGTTGAGAGTTATAGTACTTACATTTAGTAAACAATGGTCATACTTTGTTATCAAAATAATTTATTCTTTAGTGGACAAACGAAATCTAAATAATTTAATTAAAAAAAGAATTTTCAAATAAAATGTGACGCCGCTGTGTGTAAACTACCTTCACCTGCCGAATCTTCGACACCGATTCTATAGGAAATGGGACGCGTAGTTTATATATTAAACGTCATTGGTTTATACCATAAAATAATAATTGTGCAAGAGCTGCTGCTAGAATTTTTAAAGAATCACACCACAATAGTCATGCAACTGATAAGTATGTGGTTGAACTGATGCGGAAATTTAGAGCAACAGGGTCAGTTTGGTCGTAAAACCGGCAGAGACTGGTTAATAACAAATCATTCCAAGTAGGCATTTTAGAACAAGTTTACTTAGAGGCTTGGCAATTACAGTCACTGTCAACAATAAGCAAAGCAATCGGTTTTTCACCTTCTACGGCCTTCCGAATCCTCCATAAATTTAATTTTTATCCATACAAAATTAAATTGGTACAAGAGTTAAATAAAAGATGAAGAGATCTGTGCTATATGCTCCGAAATTATAAAAGGAATATACAAAAAATGGACTGGAAATAAACCTAGAAAAGACCGAATATTTAACAACAGAGCAAGAACCAGTGAGAAACCTAGAAATGGACAATGATAGGGAAATTAACGGCACTGAAAAATTCAAATATTTAGGATTCATACTCTGAAAAAATGGAACCACCAAGAGATAACCAGCAGATTAGCACAGGCAAGAACATGTATTAAACAAATGAACGGGGTACTGTGGGATAGACAGATTACCAGAAATACAAAGAAGAAGAGAATTTATAACACCTTGGTACGCAGTATAATTACCTATGGAGCAGAGAACTGGGTAATAAATTAACGAAACAGGTCCAAAATCACAGCAACTGAAATGAAGTTTATGAGAAGAGTGACAAAAATAGATCGCATCAGAAATGAGGAGATAAAACGAAAAAATGGCAGTAGAACAAGACATCTTAGCTATCATCGAAGAAAAACATATTAATTTGGGTATGGACATGTGAGAAGAACACATCATAACAAATGTGGATAGCAAAGATTTCGATTGGATCCAAATAGGAAAGGAGGAAAAGAGTTAGACCCCGAAGATCATGTAGGAAAGAAGTAAAACCGAGGCCTATGGAAAGACCAGCCTTAGAGATGGAGAATGGAAGAAAAGAAGAGGACTGACACGTTTACGTCCTGCTGCAAGAAGAAGGCGGCGACACTGTAAAAAACCTTATATAGATAGATAGTTAAATAAAAAGATTTTGATCGTCGTGTACAATTTTGCGAATTAATGATACTGTGCATCAATAACAATCAACAATTGTTAAGCAATATTTGCTTTTCGAATTGTCATTAAACGGTTTAGTGAACAGCTCGGTAATTTCCGATACTGGGCCGAGAGCGGTCCACAAATTATTGTGTGTGAATTTCATACACAGCAGTAGGGATGTATTTTAATGTGTTTGAAACTTTTAAGTAAGGAGCTACTAGATGTCATATAAAGAATACTGGATACATAGTCTAGGTTAGAGCGAATTAAGGCTCTATAATTTTAAGGAGAGATTCTTCATCAGCTCTCCAACCAGAGATTTAAGTAAATTAATGCACAGTTTTTTGGGCACAGTTTCCTTTAAGTTCCTGAATTGTATTAGAAATATTTTGTTTACCGACGAGGTTACCTTCAGTATAAATGTAATAACAACTCCATCATAAACGAGTACATTTCCGACTCATCACCAAAGGTTTTTCAAAGTTATGTTTTGTGTCAGGAATTGTGGATAACAATATAATATTCCCAGTATTTTTTTCCAACAATTTAAATTATAATAATTATTTGCAGTTTTTGGCAAACGATTTACAAGAGAATTTGGAAGAAGTGAATATTGCAATAAGGCAAAATATGTGGTTTCCACAACATAGCGCTCCACTGCATTACAGTAATGAAGTCCGGGAATATCTTTGCAGGTAGTATCATGGTCGGTGAATTGAAAGGTGTCATGAGGCACCTATTTCTTGGCCATCAGGAAGTTCAGGGCTTAATCCCAAAGACTTTTGCTTCTGTGGGTTTATGAAAGAGAAAATGTATTCTGTAACAATAGA